GGGGATTGAACCTGGGTCGGCCCCGGCCAGGGCAAACACCTTACTTGCTGTACTATTGCTCCGGACCCTGTAGTTTTTTCCTGATGCCTTTCCCCAAGTGACTTATGTGAAACGGGGAGGATAGAGGCTGGAGATTTAAGAAGAGAATCTGCCGTTTTCTTCTCTGTCCTCCTCTTCCTTCAACCTGGGTGATGTTTGGAGAAATAATCTAGGACCCTTGAGAGTCTTCTGTGAGTCTTGCTTTTTGCACAAAAGGAAAGTTAGTCCTAGACCTTACCCAGAACTTTGGCTTTTTCCTCTCAGAAAAGAATTTGAGGAGGAGACAAGAGCAGTGAAACAAAAACAGTCTTTATTTGAAACTTCTGAGGAAGGGGAAGGTGAATGTGAGTGAGTGTGTGTGTGTGTGTGTGTGTGTGTGTGTGAGAGAGAGAGAGAGAGAGAGAGAGAGAGAGAGAGAGAGAGAGAGAGAGAGAGAATCTGGCTACTCTGGAGTGGAGAGTGCCCCAGGTCACATTCCAGCATGAAAGTAAGAAAGTCCACATCTCAGGAGGGGAGATGCTGGCACCTCAGGCAAGATTCTTCTTTGTTCCAAGTTGGTTTTTATAGCGTTTACCCCAATAAGTATATAAGAGTTCCATTCCCCTCCCCTACACCCCCCCTCCCCCATTGCAGGGTGGTTGCCAAGGGGAAGAATTGGGAGTAGTTAATGGCCTCTTTGAAATCCTTTCTCGCTTTTGTTCCTGCTATAGTCCCTCAGGGCAGGGTCCCGCCTTCTCTGGGTCTGCAGTGGTGCCAGGTTAAGGTCTTATTAGACCTTAGTTCCTGGGTCTTGGAAGCCTTAGGGCTAGCTGGTTTTATTACTTCCCAAAAACTCATTGCTGGGGCTGGAGCAAAAGCACTGCGGAGAGGGCGGTTTCCTTGCACGTGGTCAACCCAGGTTCGATCCCCAGCATCCATACTGTCCCCCAAGCACCGCCAGGAGTAATTCCTGAGTGCAGAGCCAAGAGTAACCCCTGAGCATCTCTGGGTGTGACCCCCCCCAAAAGTAAAAGACAAAACACACTGCTGTGCGGGGCGGGGGTGGGGTGGGGGTGGGGGTTCTTTTCCCATCTGCCTGCCTGCTTCATCTCTACATTTTTTAAAAAAATTTTATTAGTGAGACATCATGAGGTACAGTTGTAGACTTACAAATTTTTGTGCTTGGGTTTCAATTATACAATGATCAAATACCCATCCCTCCACCAGTGCCCATTTCCCACCACCACATTTTAAAAGCAGCTGCAAAGGTTGGAGAGATAGTATCCTGGGTAGGGTGTTTGCCTTGTACACGGCCAAACCAGGTTCGATTCCCGGTAACCCATATGGTCCCATGAGCACCACCAGGAGTGATTCATTCATGAGCACAGACTCAGGAATAATCCCTAAACATTTGCTAGATGAGGCCCCAACACACAAAAACCAAAAAAAAAAAAAAATAAAAGTAACTGCATGGGCCGGAGAGATTGTTCAGGGGTTAAGGCATTTGGCTTGCAAGTAGCCAGCTCCTGCTCAATGCCCAGCACCACATATTGGTTCCCTGAGCACAGACCGAGAAGGTCATTAAGCCCTGTAGGATGTGCCCAAATCCTGCCCCCAAATTAAAATAACAATAGACTAGAAGGGCTAGAGTGATAGCACAGCTGGTAGGGCGTTTGCCTTGCAGGAGGCCAACTGGGGTTTGATTCCTCAGTTCCTCTCATCCCTCTCGGAGAGCCGGGGAAGCTTCTAAGAGTATCCCGCCCACATGGCAGATCCTGGCAAGCTCCCCGTGGCGTATTCAATATGCCAAAAACAGTTAACAAGTCCCACAATGGAGACCTTACTCAAATGTTACCCGCTTGAGCAAATTGACAAACAACGGGATGATAGGGCTACAGTGCTACAATAGACTAGAAGAAATTGCTTAAGGTCAATGGCAGTCTCTGTGTGGCCATTTAGGCCGATAAAGGCTTTTCACTTTTCCTTTCCATAACCTCTCATGTCACTGAGTGTCTCTCTCCAAGTGTGGGCCTAGTGACTGGAGGATAATGCTTGACACAGTTTTGAGAGGTCGGGCATAGAATGCCTGCATGTCAACCTACCCGGGTGACGTGGTGACTGCTAACCAAGGGGTGGCTGGGTAGAAGTGAAAATACAGATATTGTGGAAGTACCAGCAATCTATGCTACAGAATGTGTCTAAAGCTTTGAGCACATTTGTTGGCAATCGACAAGCATTTAAGACCAGAGCTGCTACTCTTGGTACAGCGGGAATGGAAAGGTGGAGTGCCAGGTGAATTTAGTTGGTCACTTTAAATCTCACCCAGGAAATAGGGAGCCTATCAAATAGGTAGCCAATCAAAATAGATCATGGGATGGCTGGGGGGTGGAGCTGGCAGCAGATAAAAGGAGGCCCCAGCCCAACTATCTCTCCTCCAGGACCCGCTTTCTCTATCTGAGCTCTTTCTTCCTGCTCTTTCCCTTCTCTTTCCTACTTCCCCTTTCCCCAACTCCCTCTGTCTTTCTCTCTACTCTTCCTTCCTTCCTTCCTTCCTTCCTTCCTTCCTTCCTTTCTTTCTTTCTTTCTTTCTTTCTTTCTTTTCTTTCTGGGGAGGTCACACCTGGCGATGCACAGAGGTTACTCCTGGTTCATGCACTCAGGAATGACTCCTGGCGGTGCTCAGGGGACCATATGGAATACTGGAAATCGAACCTGGGTTGGCCCTGTGCAAGGCAACCACTCTACCCGCTGTGCTATCACTCCCTCTCTCCACTTTCTTCCTCATCTTCCTGCTCTCTCTCCCCTCCCTCCTCCTCTCTCCCTCTCTCCCTCCCTCCTTCCCTCTTTCCTTTCTTCACCCTTACCCACCCCAGACAGGAACAAATTCTGAGCATAGGAGTCTTAACTGCAGGGGACAGTTGAGGGACCCAGCAATAGATACAGAGTACAGGGGTCACGCCAGATATCTGGTTGGAGACTAAGAAAAGTCAGGACAAGATATCAGAGAGCCATTGGAGAAATCATCTGGCAAGGCCCAGGGACACAACTTCAGACTATGAAAATGTGCATGAGACAGAGAGCGATGTGGCACAGGACCAGGCTCTCACACATTGAAAGAGAGTAGACTGCGTGGGATGGGACTCTGGAACATTGTACCCCAGACAGGCAGTGCCAGCAGCCTCAGGACAAGTGATGGCACACATGAGTAAAGGTGAGGCCTGGACAGTTGGGGAGAGACCCATCAACTTATATGGTACAATAAACTAACTTTACATCTTCAAGTTCCGCATGCAAATCTTTAATACGGAAAAGCACAGGAAAATCTACTTTCGTGCTAATACTGCACATTCAGTTACAGGCTGTGCTCTGGCTACAGGTGGATCCTCATTCTCTTTGTTGGAGTTTGGAAGCTCATGAGATATCTGCACTTTGGGCCAGAAGGTCCCAGAGTCTTGGAGTCCAATCAGTAGCTGATAAACTGCATGTGCAGGGAGACAGGAGCCCATGCAGTGATTTGTAACTCCTGAGCCCCGGTTCCTGAATGCATCTGGCCTGAATGCATCCTGTCTGCATCTGGCCTGTCGCTGATGATTCACTTCTACCAAAGACTGTACTCTTTTCCTGTGTGGCAGCCAATTCTATTTTCCATATGAGTTCCACAGTGCACTTCTATGCCTGCAGAAAATCCAGGGCTTTCTCTAGGTTGAGGTGTAAATTGCTATTCGGAGTGACTCAACATTAACTGAAAATGCAGCATTCGCTTTTCTTGAGGAATTTGAGGGCTGATGCGTATGAAGGACCTCATTAAAGATTGAGTATCTCTACCTTCTTTTCCCTGACTTTGTTCCCTGTTATTGTGGTGTCTATGCTTGGAGTATCACGCTTCACTCAAATGAGAGAAAGAATCCAGAGTTCTGACCTTCATCAATGCTCAAGAATCAGGGACGCTCTCTCGTTTGTCAAGGTGTCGAAAATCAGATGGGCTGGACATGTAATGATATTTGAAGATGACTGCTGGACTAGAGCCATTACCAACTGGATTCATGGGCTGTCAAAAGATCGCATGACTTCTTTATCAAAATCCTGAACGATCGGTTTGAGGCTCTTCGTGTTCCTAGAACAAACAGATGCCATTGGGCTACACTAGCACACAACAGGGACAAATGGAGATGTTACTGGCACCCACTCGAGCAAATCGACGATTAATGGGAAGTCAAGTGATCAAGTGATTATGATGTCTAAAAAGTCAGATTAAGGAGTTATTGTTTACTAGGGTCTGGAGTAACATTGAAAAAGAAAGGGGCTGTGGGGCTGGAGCAATAGTACAGTCGGTAGGGTGTTTGCCTTGCCTGTGGCTGATCTGGGTTCGATCCCCGGCACCCCATTTGGTCCCCCAAGCACCGCCAGGAGTAACCCCTGGTCTGACCCAAAAAGTCAGAAGAAAAAGAAGGGGGCAGTACTGCTGGAAACATGCTTTTGCACGAGAAGGACACCAGGGACAATGGAAACTTGATCTTATTTGCTTCCCTAAACCACCAAGGTGACCATATGCAATAATTTTCTATATTGAGTTCCAGTCTTCCTAGAAAATTGGGGGCATTCCTCTTCCAATGATCATCTCCCTCATCTCAAATAGCCTTCACTGCTCAGCACTGATAAATCTTGTCAGGTCTTTTCTCTGCTATTGGGGTGGAGAATTTAATGTTTTCTAACTGAAACGAGGTGGAGCAGATCCTCTGAGAAAATAGTTCCATCATTCTGTGTTGCAAATGTGAGTTCTAGGTGTAACCTCCCAAGGATGGTGCAAGATTTTGCCTCCAGGCAGGCTCAGCTTGGGGTGCATCCTGCTCCAAGTGTGAGTCAGCATACAAGTAGTTAACCTGACACGCCTTGGCTTCCTGGGTTTGAGCATCCAGCTTCCAAGAGTTAACCTGCAGCACTGCTCTGAAGAGCTGGGGCAGAGGATACAAACGCGTCTGGCGCGTCTGGCGCGCTGGCTCCCTGGGAGGAATGACACGCGGTTTTGAATAAGCAGCTGCTGCAGCAGGTCTAGGTACGTGGCTTTGCTTGGCTGGGGAGTGTTTTGTTTTCTCCTGAGATAGAACAAAGCAGTGATCGTTCATGTTTGCACACAAGGGCCCTTGGACACTGAAAAGAAACAGATGTTGATTAGCCTGCTGTTTTGTATGCAGATCAATAATGGGGACCCGGGGCTTCGGGGAGCAGTGTCTTCTGACTCTTAAGGTTTCTCTTGGCATGGCAGGTTTTCTTGAATTCTGTCTGGTTTCCAGTGATGTGTGCTCCGGTCATTTGAATGTCACGATTCTAGTGACTATTAAGAGGTATCTTTGAGCTGTTCTGCCTGCGAATCTTCATCTCTACATTTGGAGGGATGGAAAGGGTTGGAAGAGTCATTTGCTGAATTTAGGAAGTCAGGTGGCAGAAATCCATTTTCTAATCCCAGTTTTGGAAAGCAAAGTTCAAATCCTGAGGCTCAGAGAACAAATTTCTCCTAATGTACTATATGCCTGAGTGAGAGCATTAGCCATTAGCTTCGTGGAGATCGTCTTTATTTTTTTTATTTTTTAAAAATTTTTTTGCAAACTGACTGCTTCAGTCTCAGGTATACGCAGGGTCTGGTCACTTGAAATAGCATTTAGTATCACAATACTTTCCATGAGTACTCATCTGGGTCACCCTGACCTTCCTATTCCCTGGGGTATTTTCTTTATTCTATGCAATAAAAAATATACATATCAGAAATTCAGAGTAGATTAGAGCTCTCCCCACAGGCTTGGGTTTGATGAAATTTTCAGGATTTGAGGATGTAAAGTTTGTCTCTTTCTCCTTCTCCATTGTGGTTCCTGCAGCATTACCCACAGACTGACACCAGTGACTTTTCCCCCAGACCATTCCTCTTGCAGGTTTAGCAAGGTCGAACTTACACACTATTTAGCAAGTTACAGATTTATGGCCCAGTGATCAAAGCTAGACTTACTCTACCATTGTTGCATTTCAGTGCTCATATCTCTCTGACTTGTCTGATGAGTAACACCTTTGTTTGTTTATTTGTTTGTTTTTTTGTCACACCTGCTGTTCTTAGGGCTCTGAGCTCATGGGTCACTTCTGGCAGGGCTAGGGATCAAATCTAGTTCAGCCACATGCAAAGCAAGCTGCCTACCCACTGTACCACTCCTCTGGGTATGCGAAATTCACTTTGAAAAGTGTAGATGCTCCTTCTGAACTGGAGCAGTCTATCAGCCATCAATACTTTCCCAGTTATTAGTTTAATACCAATCCAGATCTCTTCCCCTAAGGTAATGGCATTTCTCCTAGGATGAAAAAAGGCCATGAGAATTGAGATTTGGAACCTGGGCTCTAAAGGCAGAAGGTTGACAAAAAAAAAACAAAAATAGTGTCCAGGGGCTGGAGTGATAGCAGCAGGTAGGGCGTTTGCCTTGCATGTGGCCAACCCGGGTTCTAATCCCAGCATCCCATATGGTCCTCTGAACACCGCCAGGAGTAACCCCTGATCATTGCCGGGTGTGATCCAAAAAGAAAAAAAAAATAGTGTCTAGGAGTTGGAATATGGCTCAGGAGGTAGTTCAAACCCTAAGTAAAGGGTAACTGGGAGGTGAGGGAAGGATCTAGGAGGCTCTGTGATTCAGTGGGACAGGGATGCAGTCACGTGGGCAGAGTTAGCATGTGTGAGAATTCATTGCAAGACCCTCAACTTTTCCAACTTAAGTTCTGTCTGAGAACTCATCTGTTTCAGAAAAGAATGACAAGCATCTTACTCTAGAATCTCTCTCAGGGCACAGAGCCTCATTTCGGACCTAAGGGGATTCATTGAATATGAAACAAAGGAGTGGTTTCCCAACACAGAGTCACACAGAAAGTGCCTGGTGAGACAGCCACAGACAGAAACAGATCAAATCCTATTTTCTTGAGGATGCTAGTTCACGCCGAAGGCTCTGCCGTCTCTCATTCTGAGAATCACAATTAAGGAGTGAGAAGGTTATCCTGGGGACAGGCTATCTGCGGGAAATGTTTGCTGAATGGTAAAACAGGAATTCAGATATTTTCTAATAGTAATTCTAATTTGGCTGCCTGATTTGATGATGAAATTTATTTGACTAATTAGGCCCGGATGAATATGTTATGTAAATTTAACAGGTTGACTTTGCACTTCAAGGTTTTGGCCAGTATATATTTAAAGGATGCTTACAATATAAAAATTAAATGTGTATTTTGCAACAAGTTTCAAATGCCATCTTTTGAAATGTGCAAGTAAGTAGATTTTTTAAAATTCTTTTAGGGTTTTTATGAGCAAAGATTTGGGGAAACACTAGTATCTACTGTTCTTGGGGTTGTGCAGGTTGGGCAACACTCAGTGATGCTCAGGGCTCACTTCTGGCAGTGCTGGGGACACGTGACCAGAAGCAGTGCTAGGGTTCAACTGAGCCAGATGACTGACTACAATCAAGGCAAGTACGTCAATGCCTGGACTAGCTGTCCAGCCCTAAGTATCTATTATACTCGAGGTAGGATAATCTGACTGTTGGCCAGTATCTCAGCCCTCAGACCAATCCTCAGAGTCTACTTGTTTCTGTCCATGATTTCAGGATCCTATAGCTTCTGTCATTCAGTCTCCATGCCATTTTCTAGACGAACCAGCAGGTATAGTTCTCTAGTGTATTGACTGGTTGCTGAGTGATTCAAAGGTACAATGTGCAAGGACAGAGCAAAATTTTCCTAAGGCCAAGGTTAAAGAAGGGGAGAATTTATGCACTGACACATTCATCACGGAGGTTTAAATCAACCATCACAGTAATGCACTCACTGCAGCTGGAATCAAGAGATGTGAATTCAAGACACGCGTCCTATTGCTCTTAGAACTTCCTTGAGCTTCAGGAGTTTCCTGTTTGGAGTGGGCTCGGTGGTAGAGAGAGGACTGGATTGGGATTCTCACACTGGTGAGGAGACAAATTCCTGAAATAGTTAGAAGCGGGTAGAAACGTGAAGAAGGAGTGGAATGGAGAGACAGTCACACTGGCCATCAATGTGGAGTGAGAGCATTGTTTACCTGAGATTCTTCTATATTGAATGCATTGATTTGACAGACCAGCGGTTGCTTATCTGCTACTAAGGTTTCCACTATAGATGCAAGAAAAAATATCTTGCACTGTCAATCTGTCTGACCATGAGGACTCTTCTCAGACAGAATGGGGGAATATAGGAGAAAAGCCAGGAATGGGTGCAACTCTTGCTGTAAGCAGCAAGTCTGCTTTGCTCTTGAGAAGAATTTAAAATAATTAGTTTTTTAAAAAATCTATGTAATTATATATTTATAATCCTTATATAAACTATATAAATGTATAGTTTATAAACTATATAAATAAATTGCAAATTATTGTACCTAAATAAGAAAATCCAATCAAAGAGGAAATGGATGAAGCCACGGACTCTGTCTGGGGAACTGGCATTTTCTAGCACTCTTTTTCACATGGAAACACTCCTTTGCCCCTCTGGCCTCCACAGTCCTCTAAAGCAGGCATTTGGTGGAGGAGGAAAGGTGTGCTTCCACCCCCAACACCTTAGCCCAGTAATGCTGGAACAGCCTCTGGGTCAGGGCAGAGATGCTAGAGGCTGATTCTGAATGTTCTTCCAAAGTGGGCTCCTTTCCAAACCTTTCTTCAGTGCGTTCTTTGCCAGTCTCCTCTTTTTCTCTCAGAGAAAGTGCCTACTTCTCTGCTAAGAGACAAGGTCAAGTCAAGTGCAGGTGAGAAAAAGGAGGGACATTTTGAATCTCTAGAGCAAATCCACTGCTAAGGGGGAGGGAAAGAAACAAGTTTGGACCAGTTCTCAAGGTGAGCCCCTTTATTTAGACTAGCTTCAGACTGAAAGAAATACCCTTGAAGAACTGGTAATAGAAACTTGAAATAAGCAGTTCTTTGTATCTAGGAACCGAGGTATAAAAACCCATCCCATATCACTGGATTTGAATGTCGGGGCAGAAACAAGCTCTGATATTTAAACTGCTTGTCATGGGGCTGGAGAGAGCGTTCAGAGGACTGACGAGTGTGTCTGGCAGGCTCAGGAACAAGAGTTCCAGGTATTGCATACCACAACCAGATGAAGCTCTGGTGGCCTCCAGTATTGTTTGGACAGCCCCGAAACAAAACCAAGCCAACAAGGACTCTGCAGTAAGAACACTCTTTTTCTTTCTTTCTTTTTTTAAAAATTTTTATTAGTGAAACACCGTGAAGTACAATTGTAGACTTACAAATTTTTGTGCTTGGATTTCAGTTATACAATGATCGAATACCCATCCCTCCACCAGTGCCCAGCAAGGACACTCTTGACTGTGACTCTAACTTGCACTGGTTACCCCTCTTCTTGTCTGGCAGGAGGAAACTTGTCCCAGGTATCTCCAAAGAGGTTGGGTGGATGGCTCCTGAGGCCCTTCCTCCTATACTTACACTGAGTTCCTGTGAAAAGATGCTTGAGGGAAGGGAGGGGAGGAAGAGTTGAAAATTAGTCATCAGGTGGTGGCTGTTGAAGCCCAGCAGGGTAGGGCAGATGGTGGCTCTGGCAACTTTAAAGGCCAAGTGTGCTGCCCACCCAGGGAGCTAGCAGGAGCTTCTCAAAAGCCTCCCAGAAAATAAATTCCCTGTAGAATAGACTTTAAAAATCCTAGAAAAAAATTTTTTTTATTGCTACCAGCTTTAAAAAAAGGTCCTTGCTATTTGCTTTTGATAATTGCCAAGGGGCATTTTGTTATAGGGATGTTTGGGAGCACCACGTAGTGCTGGGGAGCCAACCAGCCTGCTCTCTCTGCTCCTAAATGTTTTTATTACCAAGAATCACTGTCACTGTCCTCCCGTTGTTCATCGACTTGCTCAAGTGGGCCCAGTAACGTCTCCATTGTGAGACTTCTTGTTACTGTGTTTGGCACATTGAATACTCTCGGTAGCTTGCCAGGCTCTCTGAGAGGGGCGGAGGAATTGAACCTGGCTCAGCCGGGCTGGCTGCGTGCAAGGCAAACGCCCT